ATAAAAAAGAAATGTCGAATTATGGCCAGGACTGACGCCGCGTGTCCTCTTCCTAGATCTTGAAGATGTTACTCAGCACCGTCAGGGACTCTTAAGCGCAACTGGCATATCCGGACATGGGTTAATTATTCCAAAAACCCCGTCTACTTATTCATGCTCTGCGGACACCTTTGCCCGGCCGGCCACAATCGATATTCATATCCTGTGAAAAACGGGCGTATACGGTCCTGGTTTCTGTGGAAGGATTTGAGTAGAATGTTGAGAAAGGTCAGGTAAATGAGGTCTGGTTACAGACGCAGAGGTGTAAACGGGTGTTGGGGATGGTGTCTAAGGCGATTTCAAAGACAAATACATCATTTTCGTGCTTCGAAATGCTTTCAATGATTTTGCAGGAAACGTGAATAGTTTGATGTGTCGTTTCGTAATGTGTCAGAATCAGATATTGAACAATTTCCAGGAATCTTTTGATTGTCTGATTTCCAAATGTGTTGGCGGGAGCCAACAGCAGTGTTGCTTACGAACATCAATTTGCATTTACATTTGAAAAGTGCCCAAATACCTTCTGAAACAGCAAGAAAAATATGAATAAAGTTTGAGTTTATTTTCACAGGTGAACACTTTAAATCAATCCAAATCATAACTACAAAAAGTCATATGTATCAGCTCAGATAATTATCTTTCGAAATTTTGCTTTGATTCTAAAATACAGCAGGCGAGACAGCAATCTTCTCCCATCACACAGCCCCTCGCTGAATCATTTCAGTCTTGCCCTGGATACCTGGCAGTAAATCTCGCTTTATTTATCATTCAGCAAGCCCACGACTACTAGAATATAAACAGCACCATCAAATACTGCTAACGCGTTCCTCACTTTCCTATCAAGTTTTCCTTGAGTTACTATAAGGTGTCCTCTCCGCCGTCCAAGGCAAGGCGAATGATCGTTTCAATACAGCATAATATATTGCTTCAAGATTTATCATCCCCAATGTAATTATCCTCTTGGAGAAAGACGGACGCAAGAAGCTAAGTTAGGTGTTGGAGGTAATGAAATCCTGGGCCCTTGCTAGTATCACGGTGCACTAAATGCAGTCTTAGTGTAGGCTAGTGTTTACAGTACTCGGGCTTTGAATAAATTCAAACTCGTTTATGGCATGAGGTTAACAGTTGTCACAAATCAAAGTTCCATTAACCCTGACCAATAGCTTTAAACTCTGCTTTGTCCTAATTACTTTGCTTGTTATATTCGAAATGAATAAAACTCCGTGTGTATCGCGTTATTCCAGGCAGTCAGAAATGACAGTGAGTAATTGCTTGATAAAAAAGTTTCCATCACAGGATAATAAATGTGAAAATCGATGTCGTGTTTACTGGTCACGATCGTCTTTTATCTGTTCGTAATTTTTCTGATGCATTTTAACAGACAAACGGATTGTGAACATTGAAACAAATTGGCAAATCAAACTCAATAACGTTTGAAATTAGGTAATTATTACGTCTTTAAAGAATTGTCAGTACTGCTTCCTAATTTCTTTAATCTAAATATCTAAACTAGTCTCCGAATGCAAATCCAGACGTCATCATTTAAAGTTTCCTGCCATTTTTCAAGCAATGACTGCGCAATCTTGAAACCCTTCCACCTGGATAGGGCCCCTTCGTCCCTTGGGACTTGCTCCAACCTAATTCTTATCTTAGATCAACCTATCCGCCGCATGAATTAATGCACAACTTAGTTCAATCCTTCACACAGGTTTGGCACGCAGGCGAGACATGGGCTAGTTATGGCCAGACAAATCAGGTTACATGAATCTAATGTGTCAACCATAAATTAAACACACGATTATCCATATACCTAGGGCAGAATGGAATTTCAAAATGATTCAAACTCCCGCCTGCTTTGCACGATTTGCAATGACAAAAAGTCACATCTTAAGACTTGGGACCGATTCCATAAGGCTTTTAAGCTGAAACATCCGTTAAGCACCGTAAATATTCACAGAGTAGAAACAGAAAAAAAAAACCTGTAATTTTCAAACGTCAAAATCTACAAATTCTATTTGTACCCTCAAAAGACATGGATATGAGGTGCAGCCATGGGGATACATCCCAATCCTTCCAGGATACAAAAAGAAAGGCTACACCTGAAAACTTCACATTGCTGACACTTTCATGAGATTTGTTCATTTGAAGGTATGTTTTCTTTCACAACAGGTGCATGTAAAATCCACTTGTAATTGAATCTTCCCAAGCTCATATTGATTCTATCTTTACTCCTTCCCTGCACATAGGCTATGCTTTATTACCTTCTGTCGAAGATGATGAATAATGTGACAAATTTCACCCCGCGCTCCTTCACGATGTTGACTTTAAAAATAAGACCGTCACGAAACTGTAATTAAGGCAGTTAAGTACTGTGTTGCTGTGGCGTTGAAACACGACAGTGGCATTCAGACTGCACTGCTATAAAAATACGATAAGGTGGAGGGTTTACGGATACACCATGTGGAAAATATCTCTTCTGAGTGTGTTTGGTGCTGAAAAGAACCGGTTACTCCTACGGTCATGACGATTACAAACGCACCAATGACGTGTACCAGTTTATCACTCGTGACCTCATATACTTCCCTTCTGCAGGCTGGGCATGCGGGCGTGTGCTCAATTTGATATGAATAAAGTTCGAATACTCGGTCATACCTCCCTGCATCGGTTTTTACCTCTCTGACAACACAAACAAGGCAATCTCTTCGAGCCTCGTGCCATGTTAGGCACGGTTGCGTAGATCCGTGTTATTTTCTCCAGTCGGAGTGCTGAGATCAGCACTCAGTGTTAAAGGTATAGATTGCCATCTAAAAGTGGTCTGAGAGTGATGCACACTTTGTTATTTGAACATCATGATTTGTGCCAGTGTTGGGTCACTGAACGTGTCCGATGTATGGAATATAGATTCATTAATTGTATTGCGCATGCCTTAATGGACAAAATTAGCACAAAGGACGGTGACATCTGAGGGACAGAGTCCGTAATTATGAAGTAAAAGCCTAAAAAGGGACACGATTTTAAAATTATAATTAGGCCTATGACTCCCGTTATAGAGATAGTGTACAGCAGTGTATTTTTATAAAGGCCTACTGATGTTTGTGAACACCCATAAATTACATCATTTTCGTGCTTCGAAATGCATTCTATGATTTTGCAGGAAACGTGAATAGTTTGATGTCGTTTTGTAATGTGTCGGAATCATACATTGAACAATTTCCAGGAATATTTTGATCGTCTGATTTCCAAATGTGTTGGCGGGAGCCAACAGCAGTTTTGCTTACGAATATCAATTTGCAGTTACATTTGAAAAGTGCCCAAATACCTTTTAAAATAGCAAGACAAATATGAATGAAGTTTGAGCTTATTTTCACAGGTGTACACTTTAAATCAATCCAAATCATAACTACAAAAAGTCGTGTGTATCAGCTCAGATAATTATCTTTCGAAATTTTGCTTTGATTCTAAAATACAGCAGGCGAGACAGCAATCTTCTCCCATCACACAGCCCCTCGCTGAATCATTTCAGTCTTGCCCTCGATGCTTAGCAGTAAATATCTTCTTTTGTGAAGTGTTTTTGGTGAGGATGACACGCCCACAAACAAGAGCTTTTCATCAACATTTGATACAGCATTGAATGTTACTAAAAATCAAAGCACCATAAAACTCAAATTGAGTGTATCCATTAACCCCAACAGTCCCAAATCCTCCAGTTTCAATATCATTTTACATACCCCCTCGGGGGTTAGGGTTAAGAATGAGGGATAGGGCCTGCAGGATAATTGCATCATACTCCCGTCTTTATACACACAAAAACCCTTCCTGCACCCCACAACTTGCTTTTCTTTATAGAATGATCCGCGATTTGTCGATGAAAACAAACAAAACCGAAGAGGTAAGACACACACGGGGTTTCATTTTCACAACTTGCATTTAATTTTCTGTGGGCGAAATCGTTCGATACAGATTTGGTACAGGCTATTTGGGTACCTACGCCATAAACTGACATAATTGATATAAAGATAACAAATATTGTGCCACGAAATTGTACCGTGTAGTCGTTCGACCGGGTAGAGTCGTTGCCTTCCGTGGGCCTCAATGCCACAATCCACGGCGTCGATGGTTGTAGACAGACACGGTAGCCCGGGGTAATACGCAGAAAATGGTGTTGACAGAGCTGTATGCACGCTGTGTAGTTTAAGGCCAAGATGCATAGTAATATATGCCGGGTTAAGATGTCTTAAAATAATGTCATTTGAGGCGGGAAAGTGAACGAGTAAGAAAGACGTCAAAAATGCACGTGCTCAAAGTTGTACTGTGGGAAATTAGCATTTTGCAGTATGTCTACGTTTTTACTGCATGGGAAAACATTCGCGCTTTATAGTGTATTGCACTAGTGGATCAGAGTTTCCCATGTATAGAATCAAGTCTTCTGTTTAAATATTTAAATATAATAAAAAAGATTTAATGTGAAAACAATTCACAGTTAATTAATTTAATTCTGGTACCTCATTCTATAATGCTCATTGAATGTTAAAGATATACATCCGATTCTCGTTATGAGAACTTCTAGCCTAGTGACTGTAAATGAATGGCCATGATATCCCTAGCAAATCGTGTGAGTGGTAAGCTTTTTTAAACTTTTTTTTAATATTCTGCTTTGGATATCAAGTTATTGCGTCTTGTAACCACCTTAATTGAAATCGTCGCCGCCATTCTCACTGAATGCCAACTCGACATTCTATAGCAACCATTTTAGCAAGCAAGAAGCTTGTTGAGAGGGCTGTTGGTATTGAATCGGGCTGGGGGGGTCGATTCATTCATTAAATTGTGATTCTTTTTGACATTCTGGTCACACAAATCAGTGACTTCATCACTCATGACAGCCATATAACCAAAAGTGGGACTAGAATAACCAGTTGGAGAATTTAACCCAAATTTTCCCGCTTTTTTCTCGCCGTTTTCAGCGGTGTCAGGAGCCGCGGGTGCAAGGGCAGCCATGTTACACGTGCCCCGCAGTCGACGACGCAGCAGCACCGCCAGTTACGTCGACTCCTCTGGCCATGGCAGCTCACGCACGCCCTCTATCGCTCTGTCCGAGAGTCTGGAGTACAATAATCGAAATGGTCGGCCGCCAGACCTGGAAGGAGATGACAGCGAGAGGATATCTGATATCTATATGGATAGGAGATATGGGGCAGAGGTCAACGCCAAGGACACATTGATTGCTGTGGAACAGTGGAAAAGAAACCAAACGGAAGGAGAAAAGTTGACCAAAGCACAAAAAAGACGAAGGGAGTATGAGTAAGTACCAACAAAATCTCAAACATTTTAAGAAACATTCACATAGCTTCCCTGAGGATGACTTGAGCAGTGGGGTCAAATCGTTGACAAGATTTCGGGTTCCACTTAGTAACTGATGTGTTTCTTTTTTCATTCATTACAGTGCTACCACATTCCTACCATACAAACACTCTTTGCATACATTTGAAACATCTTTACTCTCACGTGATGGCAAAAATCACCCATGGAGAGAGATACAAGCAGATATGGCAAAAAGTGAATCATAACGCCAGTCACTGGTCCAGAGTTTAGAGGTTACAGAAGTCATACAAAGTATACCATTATGTTGGGCGAGATATAGGTCGATACATATGTGACGGGGTCTTCCGATCTTTGCGCGATAAGTCGAACTCATTGCACAATTTGTCGATAATTTTGCCTCAGCCAATCGCCTTTTCTTTCTAATTCGCGATTGTGAAAGATTGTTTCAAAAAGTCGGAGATTTCATGCAGGATCGACCAGTCGCGCAGAATAATCAGCCGATCGCGCCGAACTACTTTAACTCTGTTTGACTTTATGCTATATGTTAAACTTTAACTCTGTGCTGTTGTTTGATTTCTGATGCTTGGCAACAGATCGGAGTGAAAGTTGAAAGGGTTTTCCTACAAACCTCAAAATGATAGTGCTGATTGAACGATGGTCATTTGTATTAGATCGCGCAAGGCATAGCGGGAACCAACACGGTGCGGCAAGATCGTACCCATGGGAACGAGGTTGCTCCTGCAGTGGACTGATGAAAGATTTAGTGTTCACTAAATCGTGTAGGCTTGGACAGGAATGCAATATGAAGTAAATTCAGACAAATAGTCTTGATTACCTCAGTGGCTGATGCATGACATTTTGAGACTCGATTCAGAAAAAAGAAAGCTAGCGTGGCAAGCCCTCACCCTGTGCAAAACGTTTTTAAGATGTCTGGAAAGATTGACCATTTGATGTTCAAAAGTATGGATCATGCAATTGTGAACACATCGAAAAGGTCGTATGAAATGCCAGTTGCACTCCATTCGGCATTTCTGATTTCCTGTCACAGATCTAAGGGATCAGCTGAAAGTACACACAAATCTGTTGAATTTTAATGCCTAACCGTTGTTGAATACATTGACATTTCCCACTGAATTGACTCCTGAATCCTATTAATGGATCCATCGGTAAAGTTTGATTAGGAGGGCTCATAGTCTGTCGAGAAAGACAGACTTGGTGCTGTTCCGCGATCATTGTAATATTTTATGAAGACCTTGTTTGGTATTGTCAAGCGCCTTTCATTATTCATCTTGATTTCCTTGCTGATGAGAATTGCCTTATTAACCTTCCTTTAAGCACCACTTCGTAATCAGTGTAATCGCTCTAACCATCCCCGAGATAATTGGCAAACCTGTACGCACTATTCATGGGACAGATAATTAAATCTGGCGGAGTAATTGATGTGATTGTGGCGCACCGTAGCCCCAGCTAATCCTGCTTCTGTTTGAGTCTGATAGTCCGTCCAAATGATGTCCAACATTTCACAGGGGATTCGGTCATGCCAGACCCGTCCATCATTGATTCTCGACGGTGTCGCGTGGTGCAATTTAACCCTCAACTGCCGGCCCCTCTTCGCAAATTTGTCAGTCCCCTCTGAGTGAGTCACCCAGCCCTTAGCTTCTACAAGTCCCCCATTACTGACGTGAATACTAATGTCTTGGCATCTTCGCCCAACAACTCTACCTCCTCAACCTCTTGCTTTTCGTCTTTAGCCCCCCCTTCCTCCCCGCTAGGTTTCCTCAACCCGTCAAAAACCTGCAGTTAATAAAATGCATCGATGGAGAGGTAAGGCTTTCCTTATTCGTCGGCTGTCCGCGTGCATATCGACAGTGCTTCCCCAATCAGCAGCCTGCGTGGATTCGCTAGCCGGCATCATCTCTCATTCGCATTGCATTAAGGAGGGCGTATGTAGAAGAGATGCGCTCCCCAGTACTAACTGCAGGAGATTGAGACGGGCTGCTTGTCTCTCACTCGCACAGTTGTCATTTCGTCTTGACGAGCGGGCCTCGTTCACTATCCCAAAGTGAGAAAATCAGGCAAGATAAACCACGACTTACCTTATACGCATGAACTCGACACGGGATTAAACAGTGCGGTCTTACGGTCTTTAATGGAGCCAAGCACACATCGGTGTTGTGCTGAACTTACCCTGCTGGAATTAAAACGGAGAAAAGAACAAACTACTCAACTTTTCAACTTGGCTGGAGCTCGGATTATACACATTTCATCTCCTAGATGCGCTTAGATGGCGCTTGAGTGCCTGCTTCTTTGAGATAAATCATTGTGAGCACCTTCTCCCCTTCTTCCACCTTGTCTTCGTTTCTCAGTGATTTTAAATCGTCTCCAAGATGAAAGCTGTAAGAATCACGGGTCACATCCGTGACCGGCGACCTCAGTGAGTAACTATTCGTGGATCCTCCGTCTTCCTCCACCAAACCTCCCTCCGAAAACCCTGTACTTAACATCCAATCTCCCTAAGAGAGACGACACTTGTCGTCAAATGTGTTCCCCTAAACTCAAACAACAGGCAGCATCAAATGCCATCTTAGGACGTCAATTCCCTTCAGTGCCATACAATCTTTTATTTCTTTTGCTGTGCTTGAAATTTTTGTTTTTATTTACTGACTTCCACACCTTAATCTACCTTGCTCTCTTTTTATTTACCTGATTTCTTCCCTTTTCCTTATAACCTGAATTGATACAAGCCTGGGCATGGCTTCTTTCCATAATTTCTTTCATTCCATTGCCTTAAGATTCCGGTCTTAACCGAAATTTGTTCTCTCTGCACAAACAACCAAGCAACAGTAATACACGAAATACCTTCATAGCCGCTCAGATAAACACAAACTGTAATGCGCGACATTTAGTCAAAGACAATGTGAGCGTTTGTCATGTTCATTCCCAACTGCTATGAATTTCAACACACGCTTGGGACTCGTCATTATGGCTTTTAGTATTTTGATAAATCTTGCACTTATCCCAAATCAAAGCGTAAGGTCAAATCCGCTCCATTGTCAACGACCATCCAAAGATGTGTACACAACCCAATGTGTAGCGGCAGATCTCAACAGCCTACGCTACAATTGATCAAATATCGCCAATTTACACAAGTACCCTTTTACCTTCTTCCCCTAAAATTATGAGGAAATACACATTATTTCACAGCATTTATTTCCATGGCAGCAGAGATCATTTTAAAGATCTTTATTTGTAATTATTTCACTACATAAAGTATAGTATTTTCTCCTTGATTACAACTCACGATGATTTTACACCTGTGGATGGCGGAGCTTACCCAAGGTAGTTTCACCGTGTGTCCCCTTTCTTTCTCTGCAACGTCTTCCCGACATTTTCATCACTTCACCGATTCAAATGAACACAGGAATTCACCTGATGGGGCGGTAATGTCAGGATGCCTCACGGCTATCTTGACAGGGGTCGCTCGCCACGCATTCCAAGCGGGTGTTAGGAAGCGTCCCATGCATCACGACTGTCTCCTGTTGAAAAAAAAAGACAAACTGGTCATAAAAAGTTTCGGATGAACTGAGAGAAGACATGAACATCATCGTTTAATTAACAACCTGGGGAGAATACCATCTAGTACACATGTGAAAAAAAAATCAACATAACGCTGGAATTACCTAACAAAAATGTGACTGGTAGAATTAGAAAAAAAATTGGTTTGAAAATGTTTTGAATAATTTGAAAACATTCATTTTATTCAAACAATCACGGATTTATAATATTCACTACGATGGTTTGCAAACTGAAATACTCGGGGACTCAGTTTTTCCATTTCTGTATTAAACGCGGTTTACGCACTTCTTGTATCAGTTTGTTAAATATCGTATGAGAAATGAAATGTACTGCGTTTTACATTGGGTGGCAATTTATATTGAAAAATGCTTCGTTTCTCATTCTCGTGGTTGATAGCAAAGGCTTTATTGTTAAGCACCTAATATTTTTCTTGTTTAACCAAGATCTAAATTAAACTTTGTACACTTTCAGCAAAAGCTAGCGATCGTAATTAAGAGTGTGGCGTGCGTTTTAATTCAAAATATTCCAGACAATTTCTCAAAGGAAAAAGATGAATATATACTTTGTTTTCTGATGTCTTCCTTGCTTGCTCCGATAAACTCAGAATAAGATCGTTTCATTCTCCTGAGACACATAGCTCCTAATGTTACATTCAAAGCAAATAATTTCCATGAGTAGAAAAGAAAAGTAAATGTAAAAGTGTACATGGGGAAACTAACGAAATAAACGTGAACGATGATAATCGATCTTTCTTCTGGCAAACATGCAGAAGCCTCCGTCAATTCTGTCTTCAATACACGCTATCTGATCAATGCTAATTAAATAGTCGAAGGAGTTTCAATGATTTCCTTTTCGAGTCGTAATGAAACTGAAAGAAGGTTCCCCCATCTTTTATTGAATATTGTGCAAATAATGCATGCATCTGGGATTTTACTCTGACATTGCTTTTATCATCATTAGAAATTTTGATTTGTATGGGGATGTTGACGCTCGTAGTTATGCCCTCTCTTAGCCTTGTCGACTCCCATGGAATTCAGGATGCCCATTAAATGTTCGATATTCATTACTATTTTTATGGAAAATATCTTTTTATATAAGTAACTACAGGTGGACTTGGAGGTTCTATTGGTTTCAAAGGTCGTCCTGTTCATGGGAAGAAATTGCGAGTGTTGTTAATGGTTACAAATTATTCGTATGCGGTCTGCACAAAAGATGTTTTGATAATGATAGGGATAATTTGATTCAATATCATTTCAAATATTGGCCTTTTCCAGACAACAATCTGCCATCTTCCACCCATGGAACTCCTCAAAGATTGTACCTGTGTAATTGTCAACATGCTTTCATCAGATCCACCCCCAAATATATCTCTTAGTGCGCAGTTAATTTCATAAATTGGTAGA